AAAGAACAAAGATTACTGATGTCGCAGACAGTATAGCAAGGCTCAAGTGGCAATGGGTTGGACAAGTTGGCCGAGATATTTCTGAAAAATGGACACAGAGAGTAACAAACTGGAGACCAAGATAGAACAGGTGAAAAGAGGTGGGCAGATGATATCAAACAAGTCGCGGGCAAGCAGTGGAGGAGAATTGCCAAAAGTAGAAATCAATGGAAGCAAATGGAAGAGGCCTATGTCCATTAGTAAACGAATTCAGGCTGAAAAAGAAGAAGAAGACTCCCTCTCAATACCAAATTAAGTATATAAAGAAATCCAAACGTTACTGAATCAAATTTAAAACTTAACTTGAAGAAGACGATGTAAACATATTTACCCAACTAACCTATTGCATTCCGATGATACAAATTGGGGTTAAAAATATTAACCTTTCTTTTCTTATAGAGTTATAAATTTCTTACTCTATTCATTGATAAAGTTCTGAATAGTTCCTGATAATTTCTAAGTCAAAATTCTTGCAGAGCTGCATGCAATATTGATAAATAAATGCTAATCACATTGTTTCCGTTGTAGACGGATTATCGAAATTTAATGTGTTTATTTTAAAAGAAACAGTTATAAAGAGAGCATAATCCCGGAAAAGATTTAATTATTTACGAACTTATATCTTGTTTAATAATAAACATTAAGTACAATGAATTCTTCGTAAGGTTTTGAAAGTTTGAGATTAGAAAATAATTATTTTTAGTGTTTGATATACAGAGTGGATCATAACAAATGAATATTTTTTTATCTTTTATATTAATTATATTTACTCAAGAAAATACCGGAACATTTTTAATAAATGTCGTCATGATGGTTCATTAAGAGTGATATTAGCTGATACAGAAATGAAAGAAAATAAATTAGAACCTGTAAGAATGATAAGATAGTGCCAGTAAAATTTGTACTTGATGAACCCAGAAACGAAGCATTTAAAATGAAGAAATTACTGGGCGCTATTTTTCAACTGGAATATCTAGGAGGAGAAAATATAAAAGGCGTCATTTACATTTTCAGCCGCACAAAAATCATGATCTTTAAAGACCATGCGATCAAAAGGCGATACTCCATTAGTTCGGAAACCATTGACTGCAATTTCAACAATGCTTGCTGCTCTCTCATAAGCCTAAGAAATCAAGCCAGCTGCTATATGCTAAATATTTAAACAAATATTCTATTGGTATAGTGTACTTTAAACAATTGACAACCATAGCATTGTGCAAACAACACATCCACTATCAACTCATATATTTTAAAAATTTTTATAACACTACATAATTTTTGAAGAAAATCAGTTTTTTGTCTTTCAGTAAACTTTGCCTTATGTACATGTTACCTTTTCGAAATAAGTGATTCAATTTTAATTAGAAAGTAATTACGAGGGGCGGTCATTTCCGGACTAATGTATTTCTACTAACGACTACAGTTTTTTTTTGATTTGTCAGTAATACGAACGCTGTGAGCAATCAGTCAACAACTTGTCGAGTAATACCTGATTTAAAGGTTTTTTTGTGACTAATATATTTTTAGTACTACCTACTAATGATTCTATTTGTCGTTAATACAAAACACCCATAAACTGATCACCTATATTATTGGTTTAAAAATGATCACCTATATCATTGGTTTAAAAATCTGACTAATAAAAGTGTCGGTAGTTTAATTATTTTAACATATTTCTTACTTACTTTATAATGAATTTAAGAGAATTTAAATGTTTTTAAGCTTTATTTACTTCTTTGTCAGCCTGTTTTATTCCAGTAGGGCCATTAACAACATTAAGTTTTAGTTTTATCGATAAAATAATAGAGTTCTGGTTGGTGGATATGGAAGTTTGATTCTGTTGACGATAATTTACTCGAAATCTTTTTGATTTTTGCCGATTTATAGTTAATATCAAATGGTTATCGTCATGTAGACAATTTACGTTCAGAAACGAGGTATTTGCGTTTAAATCGCGACTTATCATATTTATGTCGTGTTTTGGTTAGCTTTAAAATACTGCCGACTTGTTCACATACAGAGAGAGAAATAATGTTAATTAAAATTTCCCCAACGGCCTTGCTAATTAGTGCACTTTAAATGTATTTCAGTGTTAGATATCAGAGGTTTGTTACTTGAAATGAAACAGTTTCCTCTTTGTTTGAAGCAATCAGCAACCGCATACGTGGGAGATCGTTGCATACCAAACACAAAGTTTAAATAAACTGATGACGGATTTCCTAGATAAAATGCTTCTTTTAGATAAATGATGGTTAAACTTTGATAAGCTGGCAATGAAGATAAATGGTTCTGGAAACAATTATATCATAAATTACCAAGTATTACAGTTACTATTAGTTCGAACTGAAGAGTTTATATCATTTTGTGTTTGTAAACAGACACTTCCTGTAAACAGTTGCCTAATTATGAATCCCATAGACCTCATAAATTGAAATTTACCTCTTTTGCTAAAAACATTACAGAAAATACAATTATTATGCAACAGAAGCCCGGAAATTCACAATAAAGTGTCCTAAATATCATTTAGATTTCGTAATCCTTGAAATTACACAATTTCGTGACATGCATAAATGGACCTATTGCAACTGTAGAGTTTTTTTTTTTTTAAATGCATATTTACAATATACTCATAAACAATCATCATCATCATTAACAGCCAGCTCAACAACCCTTTCTGGGTACTGGCTTGTTCTAGGATTTTGCGCCATTCTGTTCTGTTCCTTGCTTTGTTTTTCCAGTTGGTAATCTTAATATTTTCAGATCTTGTTGCACTTGTTCCATGTATCTAAGTTTGGGTCTTTCCTTTGACCTTCTCCCTATTGGTGTTCATTGGTCAACATGGCCCATCCAGTGCAGATGTCCGATCTTTATGGATGTTATGACCTCGGGTTCATTGTATGTTGTGTATAGTTCAAAGTTATATCTTCTGCGCCATATGTCATTTTCTTTCAACTCCTTATATATGTGTCTAAGGATTTTTCGTTCAAGGACCGGTTTTATCAGGGTTATGTATATTTTACATTTGGTTTTTCTTGTGATGTTGTTAGATCTTGGATGTTTAATTAGTCCATTATATGTTTTATTAGCGATATGTATTCTTCTCTTAACTTCTTCACTGACATTGTTATCTGCGGTAACTAGTGAACTTAGATATGTAAAATTTTTCACGCTTTCGAAGTTATAGTCTCCTTTTGTCAGGTTCTGTAGGTTTCTTTGGCCTGTCGATTTGCTGGCCTTCATGTATTTTTGGCTTTTATTTCATTAATGTTTAGGCTACTGTTTTCTTGCCGCTCTTTCTATCGCATTAAATACTTCTATCATCTCTTTTTCGCTTCTAGCTATGATATCAACATCATCTGCAAATGCCAATATTTGTACACTTTTTTTATTATTGCTTCTCTGGTGTTTTTTTGTAGGTTTCTTTGGTCCTGACCCTACTTTCCACTGAGGTTGGTTACCCAATCTCCGGCAGGGTTTTTCAGGCTTGCCAGGGTCCACCCGTGTGATTAAGTCACACTTCTTGGAGGTGAGGATAGGAATTGAGTAGGAGTGGCTAGAGGTCTTATCAGGAAGTAACACCTTATATTGCGCATCACTACTCCTTTGAACCCCATTTATTGACTTTAATATTCCATTTGGTCAACCAATTCTCTTATGTATGCAAATAATTTTGCAGATTTTCAGAGGCTGTGTCTGGAACAAACGTTCGTTAATATAGAACTTCAGGATAAGGTACATATCGCTAAGCAGTAGAGATTTTAATTTATATAGCAAACCGTTGTGCCAGACTTTATCAAAAGCCTGCTGAATATCGAGTAAAACTGAGGCACACATGGTCTTTTCTTCCAAATTTTTCTTCATTTTATTTACTATGAAACTGTTGTATTGTTGAATATTTTTGACGGAAACCAAACTGATGTTCAGTTCTCGAGTGGTACAGTTTCGCTTATTCTATTTAGCTGGAGTCTTTCAAATATCTTGGACATCAAGGATACCAAGCTTATGGGACGATAGGAATAAGGTTATGTAGGCAATTTATCTGGCTTTCCAATCATTATAATATGAGCGTATTTCGACTGGATTGGAAAATGGCTTAACTGCAGCATTCTATTGTAGATAATAGTTAGCATGAGAACTGCCTTCCTGGGGAAATGTTGTAGGATTCTCCCATCGATTAAATCGTATCCTAAGGCTTTGTGAGAGTTGGTATTCTTTATTATTCTGCAAGCCTCTAACGGGAAGAATGCTTTTATTGGAAGTGATAGTTGGCAGGGTCCATATAGATATTTGCTAACTACATCATCATTTATGTTTTGACCTAAATTTGGAGTAACTGTATTTTCTAAATATTCTGTAAATGCATTAGTTTTTTTATTGACAATCTGCAGCCAACTTCTATCCGGTTTTCTTATTGGAGGAATTGGTAGTGTCGGTTTCTTGAATTTTCTAGTTGCTCTCCTTATATATTGGTCATCTGGCGAGAGATTGTTATTATAAAAATTGAAGGTGTCACTAAGAGCTTGATTTAACACTGATTGGTGTGGTAGTCTATTAAGATGTGTCTTATCTAGTGGATTTCGGGATTTTTGCCATTTTGCACACGCTCTTCTTTTTTCGGTTAGAATTTGTTTAATATGTAATGGCACATTGTTGTCTTTAGAATTGCTTTTTTACTTATAGAAGTAGATTCCCAAGCATCGTTTTGTATAACAGCCGTTAGCTTTTGTACTACAAATTTCAGTTCCTTAGATTTTTTTATTCGATGATCTAACATTATACTCTTGTTAATCTTCACTCTTTGATCAATCTTGCTTGGGACAGAAAATTATAATAGTTATAAAAATTTAAAAGATAACAGAAATGCCACTCAAATAGCTTCAGATATAAATTTTGCACATATATTTAGTTTACTAAAATAACAGAATGCTATCAAGTGAAACTGAATTTTTTTTCATTTTTAGGATATCGAAGTCTACGACAGTGAAGAAGAGCCTCAAATAGTAGTGTCCGATGATTTATTAGAATACGAATACGACGAAGACCCAAACCCCGACAACGACACCAACATAGCAAATGATAGCTACTTTTTAAAATTGATGCAAAGACTTAATCTGACAACTACCAGCGATGACAAGTACCAATCAGCTGCCAATTTGACAAAAGATGCAACTTCACCGACGAGATCTAAAAGAAGTGTTATAGCAGCTACTGACGATGGTGTGATTATAAACAGTGAGTCTTACGCTGAAAGAAGAGCGAAGAATCTTAGTTCAAGGTATACACTTAAAGGAGGATCAGTTACACAGTATCCTGCTAGACCATCGTCCATAGGGTAATTATTCTTATCTTTAAGTATATGCATTATTTTTGCTTTTGCTTCACAATTTTGAAAAATTCGAAACTTTTCGACTTAATTTGCTTCATCTCTTATTCTACACAAATAAAAAAATACAAAAAAATCGATTACAAAACAGTGTATGATAAAAAGTTAGTGGCTAAATACTTGTTTTGAATGCATTGATTGTGCTACAACCTACAAATACTTTATCAACAAAACGATATTGTAAGCTGTGTCTGCTTCAACAAATTATTTTGCCTTCTTTTCTCGAATGCGGAAATTAAACCCATATATTTTGTAGGTCTCCTTGGCCTGTGTATCCGTATCCCTATCCTTCAACGCCTTCCTATAATAGGGCCAGCACTAATACAAGACGGACAACGAAAACTCCCAATGTATTCTCAAGACGGTCAAGGGTAAAACACCATGAGGATGGCAGCCGCCCTTTCAGGAGGGTGGTGAAGGTATCGAACTTGAAGCAAATGGGATCTTATATGGACTCATATGTGAGTAAGCATGTTTTATATACAATAAAAATTCTCTAGGATTATCGAATGTCATTTTTCTTTCTAGTTTATAGTATACAACGTTTACCAAAAGTAATATTACGAAGAGATATTAACAAAAAAAATCAATTTATTTATTTAATAAACCATAGATTTCTTTATAGAACGTCAATACAAACTGTTGTTGATAAGTTATTGTTACAGGCAGGTATTTTTGTAATTTAAGTGCAAAATACTAGCACCATGGACTTACTAGTCGGGCTTCTAGTATAGTGTGTTCCAGTCTTCCTCCTACTCCTTTTACCCGGAGCCCAGCGCTTCATCATAAGTATTTTATTCTGTTTAAAAAATACGGGCTAATATTATCTTCCGATTGCCACTTTTGGAAGATACGCCCACACACTTTTGGATGTAGACACTCCTTCAGTCTAACAGTTCCCCAAGCCCTTGTTCTTAAAGAAAAGGCTTGTGTAATTTTAAAGGAACTGCTATGCAGATTTGCGTGCTATAATTTTCTTAATCTCCTGTCAATGGGGCTACTCTTCCTCGGCGTATGTCAACTTATAATACCAGTCCAAGAGTACCCTTTCTTTTTAGATATACAACTGTCATTCAGGTTAGAATAGGTTCCATGACATTGGTCCTTAAGCTATCTTTTGTGATATTACAGAACTCTTCCTCTGCTTGTCAGTCCAAAATATCGATCCGTGGGTGGATATTCTTCATATCCAAGATCACAAGGCGTGTTCTATGGTCCTTATTTCAATCTTGATCTAATATTGGTTTATGTCCAGATGTTGTTGGAACTGGTAGCTATCTTAAGTCTTCTGGCCATCCTTTTAGCACAACCAACTGCCATTGAAAAATACCAAGCGTATATAACAGCTTTACAAGAGGTTTGACAAACCAAAGCAAAAGTACACATTTTTGCATTGTGGGAATAATAAAGAATGTGAAGGAGTAATCTTCTGTGACTTTGGAAACGTGAGAGAAAAAATAATAAATTTTTACACAATAAATGAAAGACTATGAAAATATGAGTCTAACAATCTAACAATGCAAACATCCACTTACACTAATAAATATACAGGGTGGGCCATCCTATAAGCCTCGGTTTCTGTACGGAAAACTACTTAATATCCAAAGTTTTTTTCTCCATAGAACTATAGAGGGACATTAACACTGAAATTTAAAAAAAGAATGATATCATTATCATCACTGGCTCCACAACCCATGGCTGATCTTGGTCTGCTCAGGATAAGTTTCCATTCTCTCCTATTCTTCATATATGATCATAACATATTGTATTTCTTGGCTGTTGTATCTTCTGTGTCGGCGAATAATGCGGCGTCGCCTGCATAACATAATATTTGGATTTCTTTGTTCCCCATTCTGTAGCCATGACCTTTACGTACTGCTTGTATTATTTCGTATATTATTATATTAAAGAGAAGTGGGCTTAACGAGTCACCCTGCCTGACTCTGCTTTGTACTGATATACACTGTGTTAGTTTTCCATTTACCTCTGCCTGTATTCGATTCTGGAAGTAGATGTTTTCGATGGTTTGTATAATATTGATTGGTATATTTCTTTTATGTGAATTGGTGGCCGATGTTTCTGGCTCTATGGTTGGGTGTTGATGCCATTATCTTAGTTTTCTCCTCATTTTCTTGCAGCTCCATGATCCTAGGCTCCCTGATCACCAAGGAGAACGTCATGACGGAAGAAATCAAGCGAAGAATAATTCTAGCAAACAAATGCTATTTTGGATTGAGTAGACATATGAGAAGCAGAAACTTAAGCCAAAAAACAAAAATAACCATATACAAAACCCTTATACAACCAGTGTTGACATATGGATCGGAGATATGGACCGTTTCCAAGGCAGATGAAAACCTCCTTAGAAGGAGAACGAAGGATCTTGAGAAGAATATTTGATGGCATCTGTGAAAATGGTGTTTGGAGAAGGAGGTACGAGATATATCACAGATATAAACATATATTTGGTGGTAAAGACGTAGTATCTCTTATAAAAATAGGAAAACTAAGATGGGCAGGATATCTGGCAAGATCACAGCAGAACAAACCTCCTAGAAGAATCCTTATGTCACAACCTGTGGGAAGTAGAAGTGGGGGTAGGCTAAAACGCAGAAGGAGGGATGGTGTAGATGAGGATGGTAGAAAAATAGGCGCAGCAAACTGGCAACAGTTGGCAATGGATAGAACTGACTGACATAATGGACTTGGGAAGGTCGAGGCTCTTTTATAGGGCTGTAGCACCAATGATAATGGTCAGTAGGTGTAAGACATCTTCGACTTGGATGCGATCGAAAACCTTTGTCAGGTCTATAAAACATAGCTATGCTTGTTTATTGTACTCGATGGTCTTTTCTGTGATTTGTCTTGATACAAATACGGCGTTTACGCAGGATCTTCCGGATCTGAATCCTTGGACTCACAGGAACGCCGACCACTGTGTCTGTGATTATTAATCGATCCAGTTTACCTGAAGTTACGTTAAAAATATGCGCAACAGACAAAATGTATAATTTAGATATTTACTTATGTATATTTATTATGTATTATATTATTATAAAAACTTGTGCTACTGTGAAAGCCCAATCAAAGATTCCCTACTTCTGTAATACACTATATAATGATCTAGTTAATCTATAAATTGCATTGTTTACTGATGAAACATACTAAATCTTGCAAATTCAACGCAATAAGACAACATTCAAGCAACGCATTGCATCTCTAAATCTCTCCCATTACTCATTCCATATGGAGTAGCTCACAAATGTTCGCGTCATTGGAGAGAACGGCATTTATTCCCGTGGGAAGTAGTGAACTTGAATGGCTAACGTCGCTATGCATTATATTTATTGATCTAAACTGGGGCCTGCCTCTGAGGCTTAAAAGCTCTTGACACGCCGAACTGCACAACCGAATTGTGGAAAGTAAAATTCCACAGATGACGTTCGTAAATAGGCCAGTCGGGTGGAGGATTTATCAGGGTCAATGAGATCAAAAGGGTTTTAAAATGAGAAAATTAGTACAAAGATTTGTTTTCAAATAGTTTTTTTCCTCATCTATTGTGTTTTTTAAATATTTTCGTTGGTTATGTATGTCGCTTTCTTCTTTTTCTTTCTGCTAATATCTACATTTAGATTTTTTGGTGAGATGTAGCCATTGTTTTCTTTCTCTCCTTTTAAACTTCAGCTACCGTTCTTCTCGTTATTATTGGAATCTAGGTTTATTGTTAAGTTTTGCTCTATTTAATGTTTCATCCTTATATCCATCTCAATTTTATTTTCAAGGCGTGTTGCATGGAGTCTGTTTTTATTATCCTCTATATCCATTTATTTTTTTTTGGTCTTGCAATGCTCTCCAGAATTTGTCTTTCTATGAGAGAAATACAAAATTATTTGTCTCATTCAATTTTTGAAATTTCACAAAAAAGACATGTAAATATCAGGATCGAATTGTTTTCTAATGCCCCTTTAAAGATTTAATATTTTTTCGTATGTGTTCGCATATTCCATTGAAGTCGTTTCCACTTTAAGTCGTATGTACTCTTTCTCTAATGTGTCAGTTTCATATGAGATATTACTTAGGCCCTTAGACATTTCCTTAGTTCCGTTTATCAGTGCTTCTCTGAACCTATTTAAATGTCCGTTTATTCTTTTTTCTGTAGAGTTAATTAAAGCTATTGTTTGTAACATCAGCTTCGTCTGATGTTTTGAATTTTTTATTAGATCCTTCTGATTTTCGTCCAAGGAATCTATGTGACTGTCTACTTCATCATTTACCCCGAATACTGATATGAGGGCTGTTCCTAGAAGACCCCTCTTCGGCCTTCTTTTAACTTCCAAATCTATAAAAAATCCTGCAAGCCGTTTCCGAGAAAATTGACGCGTTCCATACTTAAAACTCTCCCTGTAGATTGAGAATGAACAGAAAAACAAAAATATTGTTTGAAAGGGATTAAAAAATTCCTTTATTTTTGTTTTTTTAAAGGTCTGTAGGTGCTTTTGAACAGATTCGATAATGATTTTAAATCTCGACCCAAAATCGTCAAAATGTATTAATTAAGTTGAATATTATGTATGTACCTATGTAACCTATGTTTCACCGAGCGGTTGCCCGTATAAGCAATCCCCCACTTACTGACCAACGGCTTCGGGCAGATGAGTTGGTAAAAGGTAGGACACCCTTTTGTCCTGAGGTGAAATCGGCCTCGAATGCGGATGAACCAAAGATTTGATCAACGGCATAAGGATGGGGAAGCACAAGTAGGGCAAACACTCCATTAAAGATCCACAGTGATACACCCTAGTCGATCAATCATGGCAATTGTCAATACTAAAATAAATTCCGGCGATAGTTTTAAGTTTACCAAAAGATAATAAATTGAAGTGCAGAAAGATAATCAAGATTTGCACATAGAATGTCAAAACTTTATACAAGCAGGAAAAATCCATAATGCAATACATGAGATGAAGAGAATGCATATTGAAATCATGGGAATAGCAGAAATGAGATGGCCAGATTCTGGAGAAATACAAACAGAAGATCGCAAGGTATATTACTCGGGAAAAAGTGATGGATCACATGAATATGGAGTCACTACAAGTAGAAGCCAAAAGTCTATGCTCCCACTACAGACAAAGAAGAGGTAAAAAGCAATTGAGTTCTATCACAACATCAACAGTATCATACAGAAAATTTCTCGACAGAAAGTTCTTATCATTACGGGCGATTTTAATGCCAAGATTGGAGCTGGAGATAAGACACAGTATATTGGAGCACATGGAGTTAGAATCAGAAACGAGAGAGAAGACCCACTAGAAAAATTCTCAAAAGACTAAGAACTAGTTGTAGAAAGAATTACCACCTCGCAAGCTGTACACGTGGAAATCCCCTCAAAAGAGACTTGGGAGAATTATTAAGAATCAAATAGACTACATTTTAGTCAATAAAATATTCAGAAACAGCTTTACATATGTCAAGACTTATTCTGGAGCAGACTTGGAGACAGATCATGTTCCACTGGTGGGAGTATTTCGAGTCAAACTCAAAACAGTGCCGAAAAGGAAAGCACAATCATACATACAATTTTTACTGGAATCAGACAGCAAATCTCAAAGTTTAAGGTGAACACTGACTGTGAAAATCATGCGTGGAGTGAGGCAAGGCTATATTTCGTCTCCTCTAATCTTCGTTAAGAAGACACAGCTTATGATAATTAGCAAGAAAAGGATAACAGAAGATCAACTCTACGTCAACCAATCTCCTGTAGAAAAAGTGACGCACTACAATTACCTCGGTACCATAATAAATGAAGAATGGACCAACAACCAGGAGATTAGAGCACGCATCGGAAAAGCTAGATCCACTTTCAATCGGATATGGGCCTTCTTCAAGAGTCACAGCCTCTCTCTTGATACACAAGTAAGAATGCTGCGATGCTACGTCTTCTCTGTCCTTTTTTATGGTGTTGAATCGTGGACCTTGAACGAAGATATGTGCAGAAAACTGGAAGCATTTGAGATGTAGGGATGTTCTATCCTACAAGGAAAAATATTTGGAAAACGAGGTCCAGGAAGAGGAAGAACATATTTGTTAAAGAGGCTCAGAATCTTGTTCAATACAACATATCTGCAGCTTTTTCACGCTACTGCAGATAAGATAAAGATTGCCATGATGATCGCTAACATTCGTAACGTCTGTAAACACATACAGACACACGCTAATTAACTAAATATGAAAAGAAATAATTAATAAAATACTTAATAAGATATAATAAAAAAAATTATGTGTCTAGAGACGGAACGGAACACCTAGTGCTGCTTTTTCTAGATGTGACATCATGTATTTAGTTCTTCTTTAGTTGCTGCTATCTAGTTGACATATATTTATTTTCTATACCACTCATAACAGTTATAACACAACACAATATATTTATATCTACAAAAAATTAATCAGATATGACAGTGACATGCACATATTCCTTTAAATATATTGAGGTATATTATAATACTAGTAAATTATGTATCTAATTTAGGAAGATTCGTCCACATCTAGCCCAGACTTTACAATTGTTAGAGACACAGGCTTCACTAAAAGAAGACGACAACTCAAACCTTTAGCGTCCGCCCATTTTAACGGCGATACTTCAAGCTATGTGTATGGTCAACATCCTAATTATCTAGGTAAGTCAAAATAAACTGAATAACCGTATATTATTTTATATTTTATTATAAAAGTAGACAAGGCGAAAAGCTCGGGTTCGTTCGGAAAAATATTCCTTTTAGTTTTTTTTGCATAATCACTTTCATGAGATACCCCAAAATAAGGTTCAAAAGGTTGCCCAGGCGAAATGTTGTTCAATTTTTTTTATATTTATTAAACAAATTGTAACAATACATTTTTTTCGGTCTGGATTTTTTTATGTTGTTTGGATCATTATAATCAAAAAAAGGTAAAAGTTTTTTCTAAAATTGCTCGTTTTGGAGTTATACATAATTTAAAACTGAAAAAAAAACGCAAAATGACGATTTTCAAGCTTAAAAACACAAGTAAAAAATATTATTTTTAAAAATATCAACTGCCTGAAATCAAGTTCAAGCCTTCGTCTATTAGCTTCCGATAAAAATTCTTGGCCTATTTTATTTTAAAACATTGTTTTTTAATTGTTAATGAAGCGCGTGATTCTAGAACTGAATACTCGCTATGGAAAACCACCAATAATTTAGAGAGAATAATTATGCAAACGCTGTCTATAAGAAATAAATAAGGATGTTTGGCAACAAACAACGAACAAAAACCATTAGTATTTGCAAACTATCTCGAAAGTGTTTTCCAACCATATATGGTAGACATAGATGAATCTCTCCCAGAAATGGTTATGTACATTGTACATAACCATAAATAACAAATGGTTATTTTCTTTCGAAGAAGAAAAAAGGTTATGTACATTGTTTATTTGCTGTTTTAAAATTTTAATATTTTTTGATAAATTGTTGTTTATAAATTGTTTGTGCTGTACTATTATATAATAATCATTGTAAATTGCCTGAAAATTAAAAAGTTTTGATGTACATTTTCAAATTTACTGGTAAATATCTACATAGGAGGAAATTGGTAAGATAAGCGTGGAGATGAAAAGTTTAAAAACAAGTTTTGAAGCAATCTATAATGATCTAAAAAAAGATCTTGAGATTATTAAAGAATCTACCACTGGCAACAAATCAGTAAGCAATGCTGGAAATGATAACATTCAAAATTGTGCAGATATCAAAAGTACTGATGCAGTTTTTGAGGAGATATAGGATAGGACCCGGAGAGCCAAAAATACTATTATATATAATGTACCTGAAAATCATTCCAGTGAATCTAACATACGTGCTGAACACGATAGAAATGAGGTCCAAGGAATTCTCAATAAAATAGGTGTAACGAACAGCACCTTTAAAGCTTTTCGTCTTGGTCGACTAACAGATAAACCAAGACCTCTTAAAGTCGCATTTAATGATTCAACAACAGTTATCTCATGTTTAAAACAACGTAGATCTTTAATGGGATCTAATTTGCGCATTGGAGCGGATCTTACCCTTTTACAGCGTGAGAAAGTGAAGGCCGTATATCAGGAGTTAGAACTCAGAAAAACACAGGGTGAAAATGATTTGAAGATCAAATACTTTAATGGGGTACCCACAATCGTTGTCAGTAAATCCAATAATTCAAAAAACGATCCTTGAGCTTATATTTTCAGAATGTTGGTGGTATGTGCACTAAACTTCAGAATTTCAGACATGCTGTGAGTCTCTCTAATTATGATGTTATTATTATTATTGAAACATGGCTTACACCTAGAATCTTAGATGCTGAATTGGGATTGAGTGACTTTAATGTAATGACAGGGACCTTCAAACTAGTTCAAAGACTCGTGGTGGTGGTGTTCTTATTGCTGTACATAAGCGCCTTAATTCAATGTTGGTTAGGTCTATCGATTCCTCTGTGGAACATGTTTTTACACAGGTTATGTGTGGCACAAAAAAGTTAATCATTGGTGCAGTTTACTTTCCTCCACGGTCATCTGGGTCAGTATATGACTAGCATTCCACCTGTATGTTAGACTTAGCGGAAAGATTCAGTGATTGTGAATTCTGTATTTGTGGTGACTACAACCTACCTGAAGCATCCTGGGATAATCTTAGTAATGGTGTTACGGTTGAGTGTCCTCATCACTCTCCAGCAAATATTATTTGTACTTGCTACAATTTTCAAAATATGTCACAAGTAAATGCTTTGCCTAACCTTAATAATACATTTTTAGATCTAGTTTTCTGTACTCAGAGAGATGCAGTTGTGTCGATTTCAACTGATATTCTATTGAATACTTCGCAACATCATTCAGCTTATACTATAGTGTTACATGAAGCCAATTCAGATTTGTTTCTTAAATATGATGTCTTCTATCATGATTTTAAAAAATGTAATTACCAAGTTTTAAATGAATATTTAGCCTCAATTCCTTGGAACAATGTATTAGATGAATCAGATTTAAATTGCTGCTTAGAAAAGTTTTACCATATTTTATATGATGCCATTAATATGTTTGTTCCTATCAAACGGTTTAAATCATTAAACTTTCCAGTTTGGTTTTCGCGAGAATTAATTGAGCTTGTCATACAGAAAAAAATAGCTCACAAGAATTTTAAAGCATCAGGCAACTCATATGATGAATTTTCGGTATTAAGGGAAATATGTAAATCATTACAAGCATTATGTTATAAGAACTATTTAGAGAATATTCAAACAAATCTTTCAAGTAATCCCCATTCTTTTTGGAAGTATGTTAGTACTACACGTGGGTCTAGTGCTTATCCTAATGTAATGTCTAATAAAGGTGGGGATGTAATAGCTCAGAATGGTGATGAAATAGTCAATTTATTTGCCAGCTATTTTTCAGGTACATATATTGATAGTGAGTGTAATGTACCTAATTTTAAATTGGACTATAATGTGGATTTCCAGAGTCTGAAGTTTAGTCTGACTGATGTTTTCGAGGGGATTAGCAGTTTAAAAACTACATATTCTTCAGGGCCTGATGGTATACCTGCAGCACTTATTGAGAACTGTATTTTTTCCCTTTGTAAACCTTTACAACAAATTTTCAATTTATCGTTGTCATCTGTATTTCCACAATATTGGAAAAATAGTTTTTTTACACCTATCTATAAATCTGGCAATCGCGAGTGTGTTAACAATTATAGAGGTATAACTATTCAATCAGCAATCCCGAAACTTCTTGATAAATTGGTATCGATAAATCTCACCTGGGCTTGCAGAAACATAATTATTGATGAACAACATGGTTTTTCAAATGGGAAATCAACTGTAACAAACGATTACCAACAATACTTGTTGGGTGCATTTGAGAATAAAATTCAGGTTGACAGCGTTTACACTGATTTCTCAAAGGCCTTTGACCAGGTTAATCATAATCTTTTGGTCCACAAACTTCATGCATCAGGCTTTGGTGACCCCATTGTTAATTGGATTAAAAGTTTTCTGATGGGACGTACACAGCAAGTTCGTATTAACAATTATATTTTAAAAGAATTTCATTGTTATTCTGGTGTACCACAAGGGTCTCATTGTGGTCCCTTGTTTTTTAACTTGTTCATTAACGATATTGGTAAGATTGTTCTGAAGCTATTTTCTTGTGGAATTGTAAATTAATTACTATTAAACTGGGAATAAGCCACAATTAAAGATAAAAATACGTTTATTGACGTTTCAATTTCCACTTCAGAAATCGTTCTCAAAATACAAACAGTAAATATTGGTAAGGCTATCAAAAACTCACACTTCCTGCTATTTGCTGATGATCTTAAGATATTTCGTTGTATACATAATAAATCGGATAGAGATCTCCTGCAAGATGATGTAAACAACATATGTTTATGGTCAAAACAAAATGGTTTAAGCTTAAATCCAACTAAATGTTCTTGTATTTCATTTGGTCGTATAAATAATCTAATGGCTAATAGATATATTCTTAATGATGTACTGTTGGATTCATTTACTGAGATTTGAGATTTGGGTGTATTATTGGATTGTGCATTGACATTTAGAAGCCATTTTCTTAAAATTAAGAAAACAGGATTTCGTAATCTTGGTTTTATTTATCGCAACAGTCATGATCTCTCACCTATTGTATTTAAATTATTGTATTGCTCTCTGCTATGCTCAGGTCTTGAATACTGCTCTGTTGTCTGGTCCCCGTTTCATCAAGTATACATTGATGGATTGGAGAGCGTTCAGAGGAAGTTTCGAAGATCTTTAGCTGTTAAAGCCCATATTAATATAAAAAATGCTGAAAATTATTTCATAGATTATTCTATAATAATGTCTCATTTTAACATTGATACATTGAAGAATCGCAGATTGGGAGCTGATGTGTTATTTTTGTTTAAAATTCTGAACAATGTTATTAATTGTCCCTCGTTATTGGCCAATGTACACTTAAACACACCGCATAGAACTTGACACACTGCACTCTTTCATATTCCTTTTCATAGGACTGATTATGCTCGTCATTTTCCCCTGTCAAGAATGTTCAGCTTTTGCAATGACCTCCTATTGGATCCTTTCTGCATAAACATTGATGCTTTTAAAAGGCAACTTAAGAATCTGACTATTAATCTAGATATGTGATACTTACTATGTGATACTGATACTTTTTTAAAATTTTTGTGATATGATATATTGTTTTAATGTACAAATTTTAACTGTTTACTTGTTTCTTTGTTATTGTTTTGATGTTTATTGTAGATGATCTTTACTTTTTACTATTTTTTGTATTTTATTGTAAATGGTTCTACCGTTGGAATGAATAAATAAAATAAAAAATAAAAAATTGTTCGACAAGATAATGTGGTTATTCCTTTAACCACGCCAAAAGAGGTTAAAAATGAAGTCAACATGAATGTTAATAACAAAAAGGCCTGACTACAATCTGACTGGGCAGATCCTTAAAGAGCTACCTAGAAATGCCCTGGTTCAACTTACCAATCTAATGAATGCATCGTTTCGTTTAAATTATGTTCCACAACTATGTAAGGTAGTTGAGATCATCATGATTCCAAAACCAAGAAAACCACCACATGAAATGATGTCGACCGACATCCGTACTGCTGATTAT